CATTATTTCTTTAAGTTTACAATTTACTTATCTATAACGCTTACATTTCACGGAACTTTTCAGCAGGAGCCACAGTTCCCTGTAGTTTGCCTGTGTATGACGCACAGCTGGCAAAGGAATCACTTGGAATTTTTTTTCTTTTTTTAATTTTAGGAGAATGTCGCGACACTGGAAAGTATTGCAGCTATCACGTTCCTCGTGGAGATTGCGAAAGGATGGATATCGTTAGACGGAAATGTAGAAAAAGCTGTGGTCTGTGTTCAGAAGGTATTATTCGAAGAACAATGGAAAAGACTTCAGTATTGGATACTAACTACGTACTGCATCAGCATCACGCTTTAATTAAACTTTGCTTTAGCTCGAGCCTTCCTCATGAAAAATCGTTAATCAATACCCCTTTTTCTCTTTCACTTTTCAGGAACTCCACCACCGAACACTAATCCACCACCTCCCCCGCCACCAGATACCGAGGCACCTCCTCCTCCCCCTCCTCCTCCAAGCACAGAGATGCCACCTCCTCCTCCACCAGACACGGATATGCCACCAACTCCACCCCCAGGTAAGTACACATTGGATTTGAATGAAATTCATCAGATTTTATCTCTGCATTTTGAGGGATCAGGAAGTGTTAGTCTAGTGATTGATTAGCGTGTTAAACTCGATCTAGGTTCGAGCTCCAGAACGCCCATCCTACCAGCATATTCCGGTTTCAGTACTAGGAAGCGATTAGTTGTATTTTATTTTCCTGAATGCGATGTCGGATTATCGAAGAATTATTACTCAGCGTTTCGTTAGGCTTTTTTTCGACCGTGTACCGGCAACATATACGCATTTGTATTCCTGGGAACACTTCAGGATGAGGAGAAGCACTGTGAGTTAGATGTCTGTCCAAGAAAACAAAACAGTGACCCGACCAGAACTTGAGCCTGCATCTCTTGATCCGGAATACGGCCCACTGATCCACAGGTTTTTTTGCTCAGGAAAAATTAACCTTTGTTACTTAAGATTAGTAGTACAAACGTTCGATAAAATTTGCTTGCACACAAAACAATCTACGAATGTAATTTCTTTGACTGAATGGCCCTCCTATATATTCAGGTGAATGCCGTGACACTGGCAAGTATTGCAGCTACCACGTCCCTCGAGGAGACTGCGAGAAAATGGATATTGTCCGGGAGAAGTGTCAAAAGAGTTGCGGTCTATGTGGTGGAGGTATTTATAAATTATCTTCTAATTCGCAAGCAAATCCATGTTCTATTTCTTAATAAAAGAGCACCGTTTACATGCCCCAATATGGTATCGTGTAGGTAAGTACAGTTTGATTCAAATCATGAAAACTTGTTTCGATTATGGGTTCACGTTGTTCATTTTTCGTTATTTTTCCTACTCTGACTCAGAGCCTTATAAATCACTAGAATACAGAATGGGATATGAATAACAACAATGAAGAATGAATGATCGAGTGATTTTGTAAAAAAAAAAAAAAGAGCCTGAAGATATTTGCCATTACCACTTTGTAGACAGGTAATTTGAATTTTGGTTCCCTTCCTAACTGGTCCAGTGGTCCTACCTTCTGTGGGAGCCCCTTGTAAGGGTCGAGTTGGTGTAAATAAGCTACATTTAATTTTCAATTATCATTAACTCGACAACAGTAGGAGGATATCTCTATGGAATTTACTGTTAGTCGTAAAACGGCTAATGGTTTAACCTTTAGGCAAATTTTAACCGTTAGTCGTTTAAAAAGTTCACCTTAATTATATTTCTGGTGACAAAAATGGAAAGATGTTAACCGTTAACCGCAAATTGGCTAAAATATGAACCGTTAGCCGTAAAAGCCGTCACCCCTTTGAGACCCTCCAGTCGCTGTAATGGTGAACGAGAAACTAGCCTAGCTCAAACTATTCATGTTCTATTTCTTTTTCTTTTTTCTTTTAATATTTCAGGAACCAAACCACCCCCACCCCCGGGCACTGACATTCCTCCACCTCCTAATACAAATCAACCTCCTTCAGGTACGTTATACATGGCAATTTTTAATGACAGTTATTCAGTGTAAAAGGCTGACAGAAACGTGTGATTTTATACTGGCACAGGACAAACCTAAACGCTTCATATCAATTGGTAAATTTCTAACGGTCTGTCGATGGAACTTCGCGTTTCAAAGAGATTCCTAGGGACGGATGAGAGTCGATGAAAGTTTAGATAACTTCGAGCCAACTTAGAAAAATCCGTTACTACATCGCAAACGTTATCATGCCTTTTGCCTCTACTAGGTTCTTGCGGTGTTGCCCCTCTCGGTAGCAGCCGTGTGATTGGAGGAGATGACGCTAATCCGGGTGCCTGGCCATGGCAGGTTTGCAACTTGACAGCCCCCTCCGGGAGTTCAGCCAGTAAACGCGCGTAACCCTGCCGACCCAAACTTCTGCCATTTTTCTTTGTGCTCTATTATCGAGTCCCGTTTACAAACTGAACACCTGGTGCAGGCTAACCGCTTAACAAACCTTACTTTCCGTTTTGCGTCGATGAAATATCTTTACACCAACAGGTTTACTTTCATTCGTATGATCTCTTTAAGGTTGGTTTACATAACAGTCGAGGAGGATTTTTCTGTGGTGGAACACTGGTAACACCATATTGGGTTGTCACGGCAGCGCATTGCATTTCAACCTTGTAAGTTGCATATCTTTTAAAAAAAAAGTGATCGCGGTGTTTGCGATGGCACCAAATTATCGTCTATAGCATCAGTTTTGGTTTATTTTTTCACACCTAAATAGCATTATTTGGTGGGCTCGAATTCGAAGCCAGGACCTTGGTTTCAAAAGCTGGCCAAAGAACTCTTCAAAACCCCAATACGTCATGTGTCTGAGGAGAGGTGAGAGCGTTGCGTGACACTCTAAGCGTGAAGTGCACTATTGGTGAACTAACAACGTCAATATCTCAAACAAACTGCCCTTAAAATATGAAGCCACTGACGGCTTAATTAACAGGGAGGACTAAACTCTAATTAGAAACACTAGGGGATTGTAAATGAAAAAGATAAGACAACTACACTGGATTTTTTTTCAAACTGTGAAAATCGTAACAAGCTTCCCCGTAGTGAATCAAATAAGCCTGTAAATTTAATCGTATTTTTTAATTCGGTATTGAGGAAATATACTTTATCCAGAAAACTTGCTTACAAGCAAAGTAATTTTTATGGCATGACAAGTGTGCTATGTCTTTTCTTTTTTTTGTTTTGGCACAGAAACCCCTCTAATTATGTTATTCGGCTCGGAGATCACAACCGACACCGAAATGAGGGAACAGAGCAGAATATAGGAGCGTCACGAGTTATCAAACATCCACAATATGACAGCAGACGGATTAATAACGACATAGCTCTACTCAAACTTTCTCGTGCTGCCAACATTAACGATCGAGTGTTGCCCGCTTGTCTTCCCCGAGCAAACTACATTGTGCCTGCTGGAACAACGTGTTACATTACAGGTCAGTTTAGTTTGTAGCCAAATCGAAAGAAGTCACAGGGGCCATCAGAAGTAAGAAAATATCATTAGCAATAAGAAGTCGAAACGACAACAACCAAACTGCCATACCAAAGATCGGGAAGTCGTAAGTTTTATGTTAAGGGAAGTTTGATGCAAACAGGGCTAGCCTGAGCCGAGTAAATACCATCTCCATCAAAAGGAAGAGTTGTATGTCAAATTTAAGTGTAAACGATACATACAATTATATCTACTTGGATTAATAGGCGGATATCGAAATAACTACTGAATTGCACTTCTCATGTTACCGATGAGTTCACCCCAACAAGCTAGAAAAGCTGACCAAAAATTACACTTATAAAATAAGCAATACTTTTGCGTGTCAGCTTTGTAAGTCTGTGTCAGCTATTGTATTCCTGCTGTCGGTAGGTCTCTGTTCGTTACGCACGCTTCATACCAGGAGAACTTTTTATTTATTTTTTTCCATTGTTTTTGTTGTTGTTGTTTTTTTTTTTTATTATCATTTATTTTTATCATTGTTCTTACAGGTTGGGGCAAGATTAGACATCCTGGTAACTCTCATCACACACTACAGCAAGCAAAGATATCTCCTGTGTCAGAGTCGGATTGCAAAAGGAAAAGTAAGCATCTTCCTTCACTCCATAATTACCCCATAAAATTGCTTCGAAATTGACTAAAACTACGACTTTGTTTATCCCTGCGTCTATTTCTCTCTTCACAGATGGTAATGGCATAACGAGAGCGATGCTATGCGCTGGAGTTCCGGGAACTCGACTCGGTGGTTGCCATGGAGACAGCGGCGGTCCTTTTGTCTGCAAAAACTCCGGGGGATTCTGGGTACTCCAAGGTGCAGTTAGCTGGGGTTCAAACGACTGTAATGCTATGCGCATGTTTACGGTTTTTGCACGAGTTTCAGTGTTCAGGGAATGGATCGACCGATACATTTCATAGCGAACGCTTAAATACTGTATTTCTTGAAGGAATAAAAGTCATATAACCGTACGTAACATATGAGTATTGTTTTCGTTGTTCAGCTTTGTCATCGGCACCACATCATATTAAAGTTGTAAAAAAATAAGTTGATTGATTGGTTTTAGTTTACTGCCCCAAAGCGCCGAATAATTAAGCTCAACAATAGTTTAAATCTCACAAGCGGAGTAGTAAGCTCATTGTACTTTTTAACCCTTTCACTCCCAAGATCTCATTAGTAATTCTCATTACCTTCCGCCATGCCACACATTTCTTATGGTGTTGGTCACGAAAATTTGGTATTGGATCAACTAATAATCCCCTTATTGACATTTTTCTCTGTTCTCATCAGTTGCCTGCCTGATATTGTATTTTATATTTTAAAAAATATAATCTGGGTTCAAAGGTTTTCCAAGTGATCTACCCTCATTAACAAGCGTCATGTATTCAATTCGACGAGGAAATTAAAACTTTTGATGAATGTCAAGATAGCGCTCCTCACAGCAGGATATTTGCAACAGGAAAAACATTGAAAAGTCAGTTTAGGAATGTTAAAATTTGGCTTATTACAACGACAAGCACTGTCATCCAATGACGCCACTGTATTTAGCATACGACTATGCCGACACTATCCAGCTAAATTCATCTTTAAACGATCTGGGAACAGAAATACAGAAAAAGATAGATTTTTGTGTGGTAGTTGTAAAAACTTTATATGAAATTTGGGGGCGTGATGGACTCACCAGAAATGATTACTCAGTTCCGGTTTCTTTCGACTCCCGGATGAAGGGAAGTAGTATTATGGTCTGTTACCTCAGCTAACTGAACATTACTCGACCAAGATGGCTCGTCGTCACCGCAGCCAAAGGATACCATCAGGCGTAGAAGAATGGCAAATGGCTCGCAATTGGTTGAACAGTTTAGGAGTTTTACCACAGTTTCACCGAGTATTATACCCCACTGCAACTGTCTTTGAACTGGCTCAGTCCCTTCGAGATGGTGTTTTACTGTGTCAAGTGGCTAATCGTTTGCGTCCCAACTCTGTTCCAGACATCACCATGAGACCCCAAATGTCACCGGTTTGTACACGCTTTCCAGCGGTCGTTTCACTCACTCGATCAACTGGTAGTCTTAAAGTAGATTGACGATAGCTAGCCAAGATTTCTGTCGTTTATTTCGTCGTTCGATAGCCACAAACACTGATGATGTTTGTTGATTTTGTGATGCTACACCTTCTCAATGAAAGTTGTAACCTCACTTCCTCTTGTGCTTTGACAGTTCTACTGTTTGAAGAATATTCGAAATTTCCTCGCTTCTTGTACACGGGATTTTGGTCTCACTTCAGAGGCTTTGTTTGATGCTAACGAACTGTACGATGTTTCTGATTTCGCCAAGGTATGTATCGACAGATATGAGGCACTAGACTTAAAAATGTGATGAACCATGACTTGCAGTTGTTGATTTTACGTTGAGAAATTTCCGCTTACGTCCAAACTTAATTAACACAAGAATCAATGAAGGAATCGATGTCTTAAATACTTAGAGGTCCTTACCATTGACCTTAACGAGGTAGAACTAAAATTCACATTAATGAAATACTTGTAACCTGTTGGTATTCCTCTCCTGGAGGGGGCTTGTGTATCGCTGTCAGTTTCATTTTAAAAGTGTTTACTTGGTTTAGTAGTATAATAATGCGCATTTGTGACTTTGAAAACAAGAAACTTTTAGGGTGTTTGAATTGATTAAACGCGACTATTGACAACGAGGTGATGCCGGAACGTCTAAATACATATATTATTTTGAGTAATACAATACCATTATTATCGTTCGTGTGAGGAAATGTGCAGTTTATCTGTGTTTATTTTGAAGACAGTGGTCGGAAGGGTAAATAAATTACACAATATTTATTCATTCGGTGGCATACGTTTTAGCCTATCAGTTCATTGCTATAATTTTAAAGCTCTTGTATTGCGATATTTTATTAGACTTGGTGTTGTGTCTATACACGTTTATGTTAAGTAAGTTTTTTATTTGATATTCCATTAATAAGTTTTGTTTCGAAATTTAACGATGAACAATAGCCTCTCGTGTACTACACAAGCATTTATTCTGTTTTGCTAAGGCTAAAAGCTCTGTGTGTCCCAGTTTTGTTCTTTTGTTTCCCTTAAAAGTATTTTTTTGTCAGTTACTAAAGATCCTTGTTGACATTAGCCTGAGCACATCTACCAGGAAAACCAGATTTTTTCCTGCTCATATGAGGAAATAGTAATTTTAGTTTCTTATCATGTTAATGAGACTTTCATGGTCTTTATTAGCTTTCCATGGAGATATATCCTGCTATGTAACAGGGTAATTTAGTATTATCAACTGAGTTGAAAATGTAAATTGGCCACTGTAAAGAGTTAAAAGGCTGACGTTTTGAAAGTTAGCCCTTCTTCAGAGTGATTGGGCCAACAAAGGGCTAATGCTTGAAACGTTAGCCTTTAAGCTTTTTATGGTGGCCAATTTACGTTTTCAACTCAGATGCTAACACTAAATTACCCTGTTATACTCTCCCACTTTTGCAGCACCACAGTTTCTTTAGAAATTTACCCCCTTAATCCATATATCCTATATAGTTTAATTTAACAGAATGAAAGCACAGATCAAACTCCTGGATAGCATGCACTTGATGTAACAATAGTGAACCAGAGAGATGAAGAAAATGGGGAAAGAGGAAGAGGGAGGGGGGATTATTAGGGAGAAATGTTTGCTGCCACAACTTTAATGTTATTCTCTCTCTTTGCAGGTGATTAAAACTCTTTCAATCCTCTCCCATACACAGTTTGCAATTGCAGCTGGATTTGAGTAAGTTATTACTTCATGCATTGGTCTAGGAAAAGCTCTCCTTTTTCTCTAAACAAAAGTTATCTTTGAATTAATGTATCTAGATGATTATCTCAGGGTGTCTATCAGGCATGGGAAATCAGAGTATTTTCTGTCTGAAATTCCAATGCCCGTTGCTTGAATTGTTGGGGGGAACCTTTGCTGTGATAGAATTCCCACATACCATTGAGAGTTTTTCTCTTTTAACTGTGCTATGCTGAGGTTCAAATGTTTTGTTGGTTTATGCAGGCCATTTCCGCCTGAAAATTCTGGACATGACATTCAAGATGAGGATCTTTATTCAAATCTTGAAGATCTTGCTTTGTAAGTATTATTAAATTTAAGTTATTGGTATCCTTGACATCAAAATTATTTAATAAACTAAGCTTAACAAGTGCATTTTGTTAGTTAAGTCTGAACATGTTTTGATGGAACTGTGGTAGTTTCTTAGCTAGGATTTGTATAGGAGGACAAATGCAAAGACAATGTTGTAAAAGAAATAAAGTCCATGTTTCTATGTGTCTGCACAGTAATAGATCGCAAAAAAAAACTTTGAAATGTGGTTAGAAAAACAGTAATTCACTCAGCTGGGCCTTGCATGCACTTTTTTTATTCTTATTACATCTTGACATCATGTATGATATATTACTGAACAGATGCATGGCAACATGGATTTGTGTTTTTTAACCCTTTACATCGGGATGCATATTCTCCATACTGTTTTCTATACATTTCCTGAGGGGCTAACAAGGAGAATTTGTTTGAAAATCAAGAGCTTCTATGGTTGGTGATCGTTTCCTTTATTCTCATGACCTTAATGTTTGATTCAGGGGTGATATTGTAAGGAGAAATTAGATGCTAGTCACTTAGGGTTTAAAGGGTTAAGTACTGTAGATACCCAACAGCTAATAAAAAAACACCCTTCTGTTTGTAATATAAGACTTAGATGTCTAATTTTTACTTATCTTCAGGGATCGTGATATAACTGAGGAAGAAAATCCCTATGATGCAGTAACCATTGAAGAAGGCACAAAAATTTATGAGGACCTTGTTTCTTACCAGAGATTTCCAGTATGTTTGATGATGTGCTATATCATTGTATGATTTGTAAGAACAGTTTAGTTATGTGGTGGTTCATTTGCATATACCTGTATGTCCTTGGCTTTTTTCTATCATTTACTCTGTTTTCTCCCTAAAAAACATTATCAGAAGCCAGAGAGACAGACCTCCATAGAAGAAAAAAGAAATTATGTGGTAGCTGAGCTTCTTGAAACAGAGAAGAGTTATGTTGAAGCACTCAAGATGATCCAAGAGGTACATAATTTACTACATACATATAAAGGGCCCAGTTGTTCAAAAGGTAGTTATACTTATCTAATGAATAAATCACTCTCCAGTGGATAAGGGTTAACAAAATGTATTGCTATATCCACCAGAGAGAGATTATTCTGTGTATGTCATTATCCTACTAAACAACTAGGGTCTGAAGTGACTGCTTGTACAGTATATTTATGAAACAACAAGCAAAAGATTCCAATGATACAGTTGAAAAAAACAACTTGCCATCGGAAGTGAGATAAATTAAAATGTTGCATTACTAATAACTGTTATTTTACCCTGCTTCAATGAACAACCATGATGTTTTTCATTACATAGAGATTATTCTCTGCAGAAGTGACAATAATTTTGGTTTGTTATCCACAGCACTTTATCAAGAAGTTACAATCAATGTTGTCACCAGATGACAGGGCTAAGATCTTTATCAATATAGAGGTATGCAATTGGTTGTTAGTTTTGTGTTTACTGTCATACTGAATGTGTGAAGAATTTTATAGTTCTGTAGTGACTTAAGATAACTGTTTTTGCAGGAGATACTTCGAACTCACACAAAATTTGTTGGAAAGCTAGAGAAAGGTTGTAATAGTGGACAAATCAGTCCTGTTTTTCTTGAATTTGTAAGTATTGTTATTGTATACATAAGTAATTGTGATTTTAAAATCAATTTTAGAGTTTTTTATTAGTGACATTTTTAAACTTTAGACACTTACTGGTTTACTGGTAAAATTGCTTCGCCTTCTTCTTTCAGAGGGATGAATTACTTAAGTATGGAAAATATTGCACAAAAATGTCTGAAGCTCAATCTTATGTAAGTTGACTTAAGTGGTTCAGCACTGTACGTCCTCAGTTCTTGATTAATATGTAATATTCTTGTAAGCATATGTAGGTGTACATTTACAATTCAGAATTTGAAAAAAAAAAGACTTCATTGATTGCTCAAGGAATGTGATTGTATTACATGGACATGTTAAAAAAAGTTATTTAATTGATAATGATTTATTTTCCTTAATTAATTTATTACGTGTAAGAAATAATCAAAAGTTAGCAATCTGAAATTTACATGACAGATCGATGAATTATCAAGAACAGATCCCAAGTTTCGTGAAGCTTTAGAGGTAATTTAGGGTTAACATTTCTACAACTTGTATGTGACCAATGTGATTTACAGCAAAATTGTTTTGGCCTTTCCTCTCGTTTTATTTTGCAATCATGTTCTCAAAGTTGTAATTCCCCTCCAGACTTTAAATTGTTTGAGTCACGTGAACAACTCAAGATATTTCATATATCCTTAACAATTTTTTGTTACTGATCAACCAATTATGAAGTTTATGTACAAGTACTCGCTATGACTTTGAAGCTGTAAATTTGAAAAAAGAAAAAAGAAATAAAAAAACAAAGACTAATGCTAGTCCACAAATGTAAATGGTAACAACAGTTCTAAGGACACATTTCACAATTCTCATTTTGTCACAGGCAAATTTGCCCATGGCATTGCTCTATATGCAGATCTTGCTATATGTTATTTTGTTTTTAACTCTCTCTAGGAATGTCAAAGAAGAGCGAAGAGCAAGTTTGCCTTGAGGTCATTGTTAGTAGTACCATTTCAACGTGTTCTAAAGTACCCCCTTTTAATTCAGGTAATTTTGGTTTAAGTAAAAAAAAAAGAAGCTACAACAGTGATCATGATTAAGTAGTATATGTATCTGTGTTTGCATTCTATCGTCATGAACTGTACGAAATTCTTGATTCTGATTTGCATATGAAACTGTAGTAATGGCCTATGTATGGTGTTTGTATGCATTTCAGGAACTTAACAAGCAGACAAAGCCTGGTCATCCAGATAAACAGGGCCTTGAGAAAGCACTTGCTGCAGTACAGGTTGGTGTAGATGTACATCAATATTTTCAAAATGTTAGAGAAAGATGAAATATCTGTAAGTTTGTTGACAGTAGTACTTTTCTCAAATATTAACATGGCATTCCTTTTCCTTTTCTTTGATTTACTTGTTCAGGATACATCAATTACTGTCTATTTAGGTTTGTAATAAGAAATAAGTAGATTAATTGCTATATTTGTATAGTTAATTAAATTTCTTGTGAAATTAAACTACAAGGCAGTATTAGTTTTGATGTGAGGCATGTATGTATGGATTATGTTCAATACCGATTACGATGGTTACACTTCAAACAGATAAGTTTTTTGGCAAAGGACACCTACAATGGTCTACAGTAATTTAGAAAATATACTTAAGCAAAAGTCTCAAGCTTAATTGTTCAACAGTTGTGTACTTATTCTTTGTATTGTTAGGATGTTGCTAAGTTTATTAATCATTTGAAACGTGATGATGAGAACTCAAGATCAGTAAAGGATGTAGAAGACAGGTTAGTCAGAGAAATTTTTGACTTCTAAACATCTGGGTCTTCTTTATGTTATTTTCCTTGAACAACATGAACAGAACTGTGTCAACATGATTACTAATGTCTCTGATGTTTGTCAAATTAAGGCACTTCTGATGACATGTTTTAAAAGCTTTACCTCATATACATGTACTGTACATGTAATTCAAAATGATAGTTTGCTTATCATCTAGAACCTATAATTATATTAAAAAATGATGAAATAAAAAACAAATGTGCTTGACATGTATCAAGAATAACTTGTATAATGTTTAACTTTGACTCAGGCAACTGATTCTCTGTGGATTAGGATATATATATTTGAATCTTCTCTGAAATGCATTGTAATAACAACATTTGTATACACAGTACCTACAGTTTTATCTAAAAATTTTTACTGTATACTTAGTTTATTTCAACAACATTACATAAAGAGCTCCTGGTTTATTTTTATGGTATGTGAGCTCATAGTGAGGAATGTGAGTGCTTACATTTAACATAAATGCTTTGTTATTTTACTTTTAAGTATTAAAATAGTTGAAATACACATGCAGTCACAAGTATCAGTTATTGATTGTCACTTTGCCTTTTTTATCTTGTTGTTTTAACAGCTTGAGCAGTGAAGTGGTAAGTCTTTGTATTGCATATTCCTACTCAATTTATGTTTTAGTGGATGCAAATAATTAATGATTTGTAACCTAATTTGCAAACCTGTTAGGCATACTTAAGTGAGTGTATAGTGGAAATTCTTTTTCTAGCTAAAACAGACTCTGAAAATGTTTTGTTGTACATGGCATATCCTTCACTGAACATGTGTGTATTGTCATTAAAATATGAAATATTTACATCCTTTTTCCTTCTTTTCATTTCAGAATATCAATTTATTCAGCTTTGGCCATCTCATCAAAGATGGTGAACTACTTATAAAAGTCAGTGATCAACCACCAAAGAAGAGGTATGGCACAATGCATTCTCCGACTTGAACAAAAAAAGTAACACAGAACTCAGTACTTATCCTATTCCTGCTGTTGTTGGAAACATTATTTAGAGGAAAATTACTAGCCTGTAGTGCAGGTGTCTTGTGAGGGAGAGTTAGTGTTAAGAAGTGCACAATTATTTATTAAACTGGCCATGCTTGATTTGGAGTTAAAGTTGATGGGTGCCATGGTTTTTGCTAAAAAAAAAACTGATCGCTTGCTCGCCAAAATTATGTCTGCTCTGCAGGTTAGAAAATTACTTAACATGAACTCTTAGATTTGGTTTTAAAGATTTGACGATTCTTAGTCAGTAGACCGTTATTTAACCTAGACATACACAATTTTTCACTGTAAATATGTGTTTTATTTTGTGGCAGGCATGCTTTTCTTTTTGATACAGCTTTAATTATTTGTAAGACAAAGGTAAGAGATCATTCTTGTATTTGTGTCCTTCACTGTAATAAAATGAAAACCAGCACAGGAACTATGACTGCCATTTACTGCCTATAATGCAAAGATAAGTTCTGCAACTGAGCCATGAAAACAAAAAATAATTGTTGAACCATGTACCTTTGTATATATTTAAGAGAATATGCAATAGGAATAATGGAGGCTATTGCCGATCATTCTCAATAGCATTAAATCAAGTGATTGTTTTTTTTTTCTTCCTTTTTTCGTTTCCTGTTTTTACTTCTAGGGGGAGACATACCACCACAAGCAATCTTTATTTCTCCAGTATTACGAAATTCAAGACGTAGGTTCTTTACAAGTCAAGAATAAGGTAACCATGAGGTTTCTTGGTGGCTTTGTTGAAGTGTTATTCAGTTCCTGATTAAGCGATTTTTTATCTATTTTCTTTTTCAGTTTTCACATAGTTGGTATATGAAAAATGAACAAGGTATGTGTGAAATAGAATATTTTGGAGATGTTTGGTTTTCTTTGCAAGACTGTTTTTCAGTGTCGAGATAAAAGTTGGATAGTGTGGGTTTACTTTTATTTGTGACTGGTGTTCAAAAGTTGTACCATCCAATCCATCAATCTGATGGAAATCAAAAACAAATTGCGACTTGGCCTCTTGCACTTTCGTGAGCTTTTTTGTAGTGTGAGTTGTCCTTGGTTCCTTGTTCTAACATGCTGTGGTGATCACTTTCTTTTGTTGTTTTTTTTGTTTTTTCTCTCTTTTTTTTGTTACAACACTAATTGGAGAGGCAACTGAGTACGCTCCTTCTTTGCACGGTTTCAATTGTCTTTGATTTACGTTTTCCCTTAGTGAACGTTTGCTCATGGAGTGATTTAAGGTAGTTTTAGTGGGATTTTCTATTAAAATTGCAATATGCATTTTTTACAGAGCGAAATTGTTGCTACATGTCCACCAAGACGGAAGATATGAAAAGTAAATGGGTTAACGATATTGCAGTGGCCATGTAAGTGACTCCACATGTCTTACCATTGCCGTAAAGTATTTGTGTAACTCTGTAGTTTTTGTATGTGAATGAACGTGTTGTACAGAAGTAAAAGTCGTTCCTAAACTGCTTGCTCTCTTCACTTGTTAACTGGAGATATAATCTTCTTTGTTTCAGGGAGAATGTCACATTAAAGAATGTTGAACAAGGTAACAGAAATAACAATAACCATACGCTGCTTATTCACGTAGTCACGGGGGTGGGGGGGGGGGGGGGGTGGTCCGTATTCTGAGATGTATTACTGTACGTACCCACTGCAACAATGGAATCTATTTGTTTATATGATACAACAGCAGGATGTGGTAAGTAGTGTTGACGTCATCTATGTGTCTGTCCTCCCATAGACCCAATCAAAATGCGCGTATCATTCAACTTATCATGTAATGCATTATGCGTTTGTGGTAATTGTTAGGAAACAGATCTGAATTATATCCATGGTGTGAATGATGTAAGGTTGCTATCTGTAAGCATGAACTCTGCTCTTTGAATGTTTCGAAGCATTATCCACCGATCAAATATTTAAGTACATTTTTCAGTTCTGACGTGCAAAGCTTTAGTACAGATAATAAACTTACATTCTCCTCCACAGGCAGTCATAAATTTGAACTGTACACGTTCGCGACGCCAACTTATTGTGGAGTTTGTTGTAATCTTTTATGGTAAGTCATAGTGCATGATTTAGAATTTAAGATGTGAATTTTTTTCCTTTCCTTTGAAATTAATTTCTTTTTCATCGAAAACCATACGCTATTGTTTCATTAGGGGTTTAACAAACCAAGGATACAAGTGTGCCAGTAAGTATATGTGCTAATCTTACTCAGCAAACACCTATAAAATAATAGTTGAAAAAAAGTAAAAAAATCGTTATCAAAAAGGAATTTCCGTAAAGTTTGTGTATCGCTTTCGGTCACCTTGACAAGGAATCCCAACCTTAATGTATTTTTGGATCTTGAAAGACCATAACGGACTATGAATTGGTAAATGCAGGACCTACACATAGGTACATGTACACTGTACTTCTCTGCGCATTTTGCCTTGAATTTTAGGTTTTTTTCATTGATTGTCTTTGTTTCTGATTTGTTTTTCGAAATGTTATTTTTTATAATACAATCATACCGTCGTGCCCGTTGGTCTTAGGTTATCGCTAAATCTGCTTCAGGTAGTGTCGTGTGGATATTTTTGAAGATTCGGCAGACCTTGACAACAAGAAAACGTCTTACAGGTGTGCAGCGCCAAGAATTTCCAGCCATTACTTGCGTGCTGTAGTGACCGTGTTTTTGGCGGGAAAGTGTCGACGTTGCACACCCGAGCGCGGTTGAAAACGCTTACGGGCAGGAGTCGATGGTTGAACTGAAATCGATGCGTTTATTTCCTTTTTCAGTTTGTTCCAAAAGCTTGTGAAACTTAATTTGATATAACGTACGCTAAGCCTTTTTATCCCTTGTTATTAAATGCGGTATTTCTGTATTTCTCTTGCAGTTTGTGATGCTACTGCTCATAAGGACTGTATACCCAAAAGTGCAGCATGCCGAGCGAGTCCTGGGATCCATGGTCAGTTCTCTGGTACATCGCCGTTTCGTCCCCATATGGCGCATAGAAATCCTTTCTCCAAACAGAGTTCATCGCCCACTTCTTCGAACTTCAGCCCTGACCTGTCTAAACAAAGAAAGATTTCAGCGCCGGGGAGGATACGGCAAGGTACTGTGTTTTTTAGGGTAATTTAGTATAATAAACTGAGTTGATAACGTAAATTGGCCACCGCAATGAGTTTAAAAGCTGACGTTTCGAGCGTGAGCCCTTCGTCAGAGCGATTGGAGGAATTTTGGATTGTGTGTGTGTCCACTTCTAGTTTGATTAAAGGAGAAGGGTGCTCCATAATTTCTCAAACGGTCTCCAACATCTCGAAACTCGATTCGAGCCACGTTCTTCGAAGTTTTTGTGAAGCGAGGCACAAGAATCAAGTTTCGAGGGGCTGTCGACTTAGTTTTGAGAGGTACTGTAAAGTTTTTCTCTGCTGTTCAAATGTGCAATTGAAATTATTTAACTGAACGCGATGTGAGACTCCGTGAGGTAACCGCGCCTTTTCCCAGTTTTCTTTTCTAGCTAAGAATTCTATGATCAACACCCCATTTTGGATCGTGCTAAGCAACATAGCCGGTAACTTGTGACGTGAAGCTGAGTTTTGTGCACAATCAACCGCGAAGTAATAAAAATTTGATAAATTATTTTTTTCTGAGCTTTCACTGTCGTCTGGTTTTTATTTTTCCAGCAGTGCCTGTCTCATTAAATAAGAAGTAAATTATTTTGCATGTGGTGTGTTTCCTCAAGCTAACAAGATTGTGGTTTTCTCTTGGCAGAAAATTCGAGTAAGACTCTTTTTGTCGCGACTTCAAAGTAAGTGACTTCTTTGCTACCTGAGTATGTTGTTCTTACGTTCTCAATTAGTAATTATGAAAGCAAATTAGATCAATTTGAACAAATTGTCAGGTGGATACTAATTTGGGATTTAATGAACTTCACCTCACTTCGCCCTGTGATTGTTTTAGAATGTATAAATCGTACGGCTTGGGGTCGTTCAGATGTGTTTGATTTAAATTCTTAAAGCGTACCTCTGAAACAAGCTGTGATTGGCTATGGTTTTTACGACTTTTGCACGAAGAGCACTCTATTCAAGTTTAAAGACAAGTTGTCCTTCGCATTCGTCACACCTACCTGAGTCGTCACGCAACTTTAGGGGGGCGCCAAGTTATACCGAACAGAACTCATTCCTCCCGTCGCATGCATATAGCGATTCTCTAATATTATTTTTTTTATTCTTTTTCACCAATAGTTTTGCTGGAATCGCTCCTGGTGGCCGCCCAGTTTTAAGTTTTGTTGTAGGAGATGATATAGAAGTTATCAACAAGCATGATCCAGAATGGTGGGAGGTGAGATAACCAAATGTTTTTTCCATTGGGTATGTTTACGCGTGTTTGACCAGTCTTCAGTTGAAGACGCTGCATTCTGGAAAAGGCGAAGAACTAGAAATATTTATCAAAGCTGGGTTGATGGACGATTCCATATCGTGTCCAGATGTCGGCCATTAATTTTTTTAACTGCGAGAACAATTTTTATATTCTATGGCGTTGTAAATATTTCGACATGTTCTTTTGTTAATGTTTGTTTTGATGCGCACGTTGGCGTGATTTACGACGTGTCTATGCTCAGGAATGGTCCTCGTTATGTGACGTTGTGATAATTTTCATCTTTGGCAGGGACGGTCGAAGAAGACTGGGGCAGTTGGTTATTTTCCTCAAAGCCACGTGGTAGGTGAATGATGGTAGAGCTCTATGGATACGCAGAATCCATTGATAAATGAAAAACAAAGCTTATCAGAGCAAACAAACCAAAACACAACTGCGATTGCAAGCTACAGTTTTGACTACAATTTCCCAAGAGAAAAATATTTGCTCCAAGCCACGCCATGTTCACACAGCTTATGTTCTCTTCGTAACTTTCCCCATTCAATGCAACCTTGGTAGAGAAGCGGTAGAATTCCTTCCCTGCTGGACTGCACTTAGCCTGAAATCACTCATGTCTGTATTTGACTGATCATAATTGGAAGCGAGTGCAGCTAAACGCTGCATTTCCACCACGTGGTCATCGAATTTTGTTAATCACTCGGTAAAACAGTAAGTCTTTTTTGCTTGTGTCAGTAGTTCGTATTTATAGATTCTTTTTCATTACATAGACGTTAAAAGCAACATCCCGCTATGAAGAAACCACGATTAAAGAGGAGTAAGTGTTGACCTGAATATATATCGTGAGTGAAGCTGTATCTTTTTATTAGGCATTATTTTATCGTACTTTGCTGGGTGTTTCTGAAACTGAAATGTGTATTTTACTTTGGCCTGGGCCCAGTTGTTCAAAGGACGGATAACGCTATCCAACAGATATATAGCTTTCCAGCGGATAAGTCTTATCAAAACCTGCAGTGTTCTCCACTAGATAGCGTTATCTACCCTTTGAACAACTGGGGTTAGCTAGACATCAGCACTAATGATATATCTGATCAATACAAAGGAAAACGCGACATGAGGTAAACAAGTTAACGCAGATGCATTGCCATCCTAAATATGAGTTTAGATGATAATTAAAGATTGAAATTAACAGGTTTTACCTGGGTGTCAAGGGTAGGTTTTCCCCAAAGTATATGTGGTTCTTCTTTGATCGTACAAGAAAACGCGAAAAGGCCTGATCGGTCATGGAAACGTTTCCACGGGAGCACGCAGAGCGACATCAGATGCTTTTAGCTCTCACGGTGTGTTAATATGAGCGCTGCCCTCTCTCGTGTCGTGTATTCTCTTGCATCGTGGTCTTATGGACCCAACAAGCAACACAGTCGCCACGCGATAATTTGTCGACCATCCTGTAACCTACTTGTACAAAGTTCTACTCCTGTCTTTTTTCTTAGAGTCCATTCCACTCCTCCACCGTCACATCTAAACGTTTCTCTAAAAAGTTACAACTGGTGAGTTCTCTTTCTCGCGTTTGTTACTTAATTTCAAAACGGTTTCTTCCTTCTACTAAGCGCTTACGAGCTTTTCTTCGTATAAAAAAAACAAACAAACAAACAAACTACCTCAAGAACAACAACAAACACGAAACAAAAATGGTTCAAACGTCTGTAATAAAACATAGGTTATTTTGTGACGTGAATGACGAGGTGTAGCGTGTTTGGGCATAGTATGACGTGATTCATGATTCCTGTAGATATTTCGATGGTCTTTTTCGATGGTCTCGGTCTCTTAAAGGGGACAAGCAACCTGCTCAGCAGACCCAAGTGTTTAAATGTTATTTGAATTCGTCACCTCACCAGGTTTGCGGGAAAGAAAGACAGACCGTTAGCAGAACAAGCGCTAACAGACAAAAGTGACGGCACTTTCCTTATAAGGGAAAGTGTGAACAGATCTGGAGAATACGCCTTATCCGTCAAGTAAGAACCAATTAGCTGTCAGTATTTCACCCAACATTTGATGGCATAATGTATTTAATCTTGTAAGCACGATTTCAGAACATTCACCGTGTAAAGAAAGATATATTTCGTCGTCTTGTCGCGAGCGTGGGACAATGAAAAAATTCTGAGTCCCCATGAGGAATCGAACCTCAGACATTTGGATTCGGCGCTCCGATGCTCTACCTCTGAGCCACAGAGACTATGGTGAGCGTGGCCTATTACGAAGTTCGTATGACACGCGTCTTACATATTGCAAGGATCAGCAATGTCGATAGCGTCATGTTTGTAAATAAGAATTCAACCAGTAGATTCTCAATTGACAATTCATATACTTGTATGGTGATGTGACTGTAGTGTCTTTTCTTCCCCCCACAGATTTCGCAATAATGTTAAACATATCAAAATTCCATACGAAGAAGGAGCTTTCTATCTAACAAAAGCAATTACCTTTCCATCAGTAGAGGTATGGTACCACCTCTGTATCATTAATGTATTGGTAGTTTTGATTTGTTCTTACACTTTGTTTAGTGAACGAGTTTTCCACTCGAATTTCTCACCCCCCACTCCACCATCAGCAGGGTCCACTTATCGTACCTTTTCTTCCCCACACCTCCCCTTTCCTCCGGTCACCTACACCTCTTGTCCCAGGTTCATTACACTAACGTTCAAATGAATCTTTGCCTTGTTCAATGTGTGCCATTAGGAACTAGTTGAATACTACAAGAACAACACACTGCGGGTGAGCTTTCCTGGACTAGACACGAAATTACGACACGGTGTCAACGAAGAACAAAAAAGCAAAGGTAAAACAAAATTGTCTTCTTATCCAGGAATCTCCTTGCACTAAAACAGGTTTAAAAAGAAGAGAGTAGTTGGCCACGGTTTTTTTTTTTGACGATAACACATGGAGGGGAATACCGAATGTTAGTCAGGTAAAACAGAAAAACACTATTGGGGCCACCTCAAAAAAAATTAGATAAAATAAATGAGAGAAAAAGATCAAAAGAAACAAAGCAGGATGGTTGAGGAAGGAAAGTATAAAGACCGGTTTTACATGACAATCTTGAAACATTGGAACAGATGTCTATAGATGGACAAACTTGACCCAGCTTCCTAAACAGTTCTTCTCGTGTCGCCAACTTAACAGGCATCCACCTGTTTGGTTTGTCTAAATTTGACTGGCCTTTTGTGATTTTAAACGCTACGAATTCTTTTGTTTTTTACTCACAGACGGAATTGGCTGGGCCAAAGCCTTGTATTCGTATGCGGCGAGGAACCCAAAAGAAATCTCTATCCAGGTAATATTGAACTGTTGACTTGAATTGATATCCAATATCTAATATGTATTTTCGATGTTGTTGTTTTGCCAGTGGATCTGGTCAGCTTTACAACTTTTTAGAAGGTGATCACTCGGTAACACGCAAATACCATGTTCTGTTTTGTCACGCTTTGTCTTCTCTTTCCATTGCAGAAAAATTCCAAGATTCTCATACTTAACCAAGAAGGGGACTGGTGGAGAGGAGAATGCGAGGGTCAGGTGGGTGCGGCGAAGCCTTGTAGGTCCTAATTTATAGTAGGTTGGTTGGCCGGGAAGGTGGGCCCTTCTAAGGTAGACAGCCAAATGTATTAAGCTATTTCACGGTTAAGCAGTTCAAATTATGTCCATCGCCTGTATTTTCGATGCTTAGCGCTTTTAAAGTTATACATACAGCTTGAATTTAGGACCCTTCCATACTGGATTGGTGTGGACGGGTTCGTGTGCATATTTGGCGCGACATCATTCTCCTTTTCTCCATGATAGGTTGGTTACTTTCCGTCAAATTACGTGGAGGTCCTTAAAGAAACCATAGAGCCCCAGGATTAATACAGTGGAACTGGATATGATTTGGAAGCTAGCATTGAATGCCCAAGGGTGACGTGAGAGAACGATGACAGTTAATATTCAAAATGAGATTGTCGTGGATCAAAGCTCGACGTAGAAATTAACATGATCGGGGATGGCTGCCATCAATCAATTCGTGGGATATCAGAGTCAAGTTTCCTTTAGGGATGTTAGGACGATTTGATGAATGTTTGACTGAACACCAACCAGTGCCAAGAGTTACCACCACGGCGACAAAGGAACGTTTTGGAACCACGCTCGTTATTGGTTTAGACAATGACAGACATGCGCTCTTGATTCTTATTTTAATGATAGGCCTAACGAGGAAGGTCATGGTTATGCTGGTCACGTGATCGGAAATAGTATTCTTATCATTAATTACTTTATTTATAATTTTTGGCGATGAATTATGGGAACTTTTGTTTTTTGTCATATCGAGTTCCTCGATCCAAACCTCGTTTAGGTAAGGTTAATCGTCACTCGTTAATCGTTAATTGAAGTGACGAGTCGTCTCAAAATTTTATCGCGCTAGTACTGTTTTTTCGAAGTAAGGGAGGGGGTGGGGGAGGGGGAGGTGGTGAGGAGGGATGGGGGAGTGATGTGAAGGTTGTCAAAAACAACCATATTGGAGATATGAGATTGATACATACCCGAGGTTACCCATTGCCAAAATAATAACTTCAAGGTTGCCAACCCAAAAAGTTTCGCCTGAATCGCGTTGGTTTTTTAATTTGTGATTTCTTTTTAAACAACATACGTTAATATTGATAAGAGATTCGCTACAGAGCGATAAAATAGTCTTCTTAATTTTATTCGGCCAAATTTATATTGTACAGTACTTTATGCTCCACGTGTATTATTTCATGAATGCATAACAAGTGCTAACAATCGTACTCACCACATAAATCCATTCATTAGGCCTATTAATAATTAACAGAATATTTTTTTATTTACCCTTGTCTTAGCAATATTTGTTCCTTTAATTAAATGTTCCTACAGGAACTGGTTCGAATTTATTTGTCTAGTTGAGAAATTAAATATGACATTCTGAAACACCAGTGTTGTTTCTCTACGTATCAATTGTCAACAGTAAGGAGTGGTATACTTCTTTCCAAGGACAAGAATCACAAGATGCCATTCCACCGCATGCCGACCCAAAGGTTTCGTTAGGTTTTCCTGACAGTTGGCTGTTTTACATAATGCACCTATCAATGGTTTGACTTA